CAAAAAAACAAAAAAAAAAAAAAAAAAAAAAAAAAAAGACACAAACCACTAATACCAGGAATGAAACAGGAGCTATCATTACAGAACCAGTAGCCGTTAGACAAACATGGGAATACTATAAATAGCACCTCTCATATACATTCGACAGTTGAGAAGAAATAGGTCAATCCTGCCTACTGATAATTCAGCCGCCAGCAAACAAGCTAGCATGGCAGGAGAGGCAAGGCCTTCAGCAGAAGATTCCTCATGGCTCCTGCGAAGTAGTCATTTCAGGATAAAAGAGAAATGAAGAATTCCTACTGATAATTCAGCCTCCAGCAAATAAGCTAGCGTGATGGATCTAAGGGCACCGTAGCTAAACATCTAAATACTGTTAGGGTTAACATATTCCTCAACATCTACTGAACCTGCTGCACAAAGTGATCACAATAGAACAGCAAAGAGATTCCAGATCACCTCTTTCTGCTTGCTCCTGAACGTTCAGATTGAATTTCAAGAATTAGGAAGAAACACACCATCCATCAGATGACTAGAAATCACCGCAGGACCACAAGAAATATGGGAAAGAAAATACCTTTCCTCCAAGGGAAAAGAATAACTCCTCTTCATCCAAAAGCAGTTCAATGGAAATCATGGAAATTTCTGATAAAGAATTTAGAACATTCATAATGGCGAAGCTAACAGAGATGGAAGAGAAGAGAGACAATGAACTGCAGAAGCGAAAGGAGAAAGAAGTTGTCGAGTTCCAGGAGGTAAGGAAATTCTTGTGAGATCTAAAGGAGGAATTACACACTTTAAGAATCAAATGGAACTGTTAGAGATGAAGGCTATAATACAGGAAGTCAAAATCTCCCTTGAAAGCATTAAAAGCAGACTAGATCATACAGAAAATAGGATCTCAGACATAGAAAATTGCTGGCCTAGAGAAATTCACCACGAAGACTGAGAAAAATGCCCAAAAAATTGAGAATAATATACGAGAAGTACTAGATACCACCAAACGTACAATCATCTGGATAATTGGCATTCCAGAAGGCGTAGAGACTCATAAAGGCATTGCTAATCTATTTCATGAAATCCTGCAAGAAAACTTTCCAAACTTAGAGAGGAACTCAAAGATCTAGTCCCAAGAAATACAAAGGACCCCAAATAGAATCAACCCAAGATCTTCTCCAAGACACATTATAGCCAGGTTGACCAAAACTGC